CCATTGTGAGATACGCGGCAGCTTTTGGGATGAAATTTAGCGCGAGAGGCGTCGATGTGGCTTTTGAGGTCGGTGAATGGAGGCAGCTAAACTTGTTTGTGCTCATACGGTCTTTGTTAGCTACATGCGAGATACCTTGCAATAGAGAATGCTGTATAGTACCGATAACGCGTTTCAGCCGGGTGAAATATTCAGTTTGGTCCGTTACACACTCAAGGCCTGGGAGTTCGAGTTATCATACGCCGTCATCTAAGAATTCAAATATGAGATACGCGGTACCTTTTGAGATGAAATTTAGCGCGAGAGGCGTTGATGTGACTTTGGCCTCGGTCAATTGAGGCAGCCAAACTTGTTTGTGCTCATACGATTTTTGTTGGCTACATGCGAGATACCTTGCAATAGAGAATGCTGTATAGTACCTATAACGAGTTTCAGGCGGGCGAGATATTATGTTTGGTCCGTTACACACACACACACACACACACACACACACACACACACACACACACACACACACACACACACACACACACACACACACACGGACATGGGCAATCCTACAGGTCGGGGCCCCCCTGGGCGCTTCGCGCTGGGGCCCCGCCCAAAAACGCATGAGCACGTGATGAAGTCGCTGGGGCATGGTCCCTTTAGTGTGCTCCAACCAATCAAGACGCGCACCCCTTGACGGGGCAGCTCCCATCCAGTTCATATAGCGACACGCCTTGGCTCCGGTAATTCCTCGACTAATGCTCTCGACTGGCAACAGTATCCATGGCATTAGAGTACTATGATATGGGTAACATGTATGTCTCCTGTAAGATTCTAGCGGCTTTGGCATGGACAGTCCATTTTTGGCTGGAGGAATGAACTTGTATGGTTGGAACATTTTTTATTCTTCACTTTCAGGACCACGAACATTTTTTTATTCCGAATTCGGAATATATTTCCGCAAAAAAATAACGCTGCACACCACACCCCAAACACACTGTTGAACATCCCCCGGACAGACACCAGCCACACTTGCCTTCCAGTAAACATTACAACTAATCAGCACCTTAATTGAAGGCATGCAGGTCTTGGCTCGATTTGAGACATCAACATGACGATTTTGGTTGTATGATGGGGCCACCAGGTTCAGTGCCAGTATGAAGGCAGAGGGAAACCCTGTCACTCGCTCTTGCTGACCAGGCATTTATCTAACACGTGGCTATCCGTTAACTCTGGCCACATACATATCTGAGGACCTGCATGCCTAAGGTCCAAAGAATGGTGGTAACGAGTCCGTGAACAACAGCCAGGAGCTGCCATTGGCTTGCAAGCCCCCTATACGGTCCACATCAACCAGTCCCCATTCCTCTTCGTAGCGCTGCAGCACCACACTGTCATTCTCGTACAGCCACAATGCACCATAGAATGCCACGAAGATGGAGGGCCGTGACCTGTTGGCATGTGCAGCCCACAGCCTGTTCGGTGCTGGCAAGCTGCGGTATCCAGAACTGTATTCGTACAATAAGGAGTACTTCACATTAAATCCGCCTGCACCATTCAAAATCAGGGCCGGTGCAGAGCTGCCAAGGGATGAGTAACTTGGCGTGTCAGCAGCGAGAGCAGCGATAGCAGTGCTGCCGCCCGACCAGCGCCATGCAGACACAGGTGGCACGAATGAGTCGCCCACAACCACTGAATCTATACACTTGACGCTACTGTTGGAGACCTTCTGGCAGCCCCGAATCATTGATTTATCCCAGTAATCCTCCATGATGTCAAGGCGGACGATGTCAAGGAAGGTGTTGTTATACCAGGTGGCACGAGATGGTAGCGGAATTACTGAATGTGAGATACCAGACCGCTGAAGCATAATGCCAGTGCGGGGCTTGCCAGGCGGCCCACCGGCCAACAGTGTCGTGATGGGTGAAGAAAACTCCACGTACACCCAGGGTGCATGGTATCTGTTCTGTGTGAGCGACATGGTCAGGGTGCTGGGAGGGGAGCGGGTGCCATCCGCATAGGTGTACACAACACGGTAGACGACGTCCATGCTGCCATTATACAAGAAACTCAGATTCGTAGGGTTTGTTGTACAGTTGCCGGCCATACTATATAGAGTTTGCATGCACTGCACTGGCGGTGGAGTATCTGCATCATGATGGGAGTAATCATCAAGAGACGTTGGCAGTGATAGGTGGATACACAGACAAGCATTCCACCATCTTATGTGGATTTCAGCTTCTAATTCGATAGCTTTGACTGTACAGTACCTTTTGCATGGCATGTCGTTAGAGGTAGACAAGGCGCATACAAGCAAGTATATGTATACTTGCAAGAATACAAGTACAAACAGTATAGTATGTATGGATGATTTTAGAATACATTATTAACACTGTATTGTTATTATACACATTCACACGTTACGCGACGGCTCTATGCCAGGCAAATAAACCGCTAAGGCGGGAAGATACGATACATCATGTGAGATGATCGATGCATGAACAAAATCCAGCCGCACGGACAAATGTACGAACCTGCTACACTGATGGCTCTCTCGGACCATACCCAGGACGCATTGGAACGGACCAACACCTGCCCACTTGAGTCTTGAAGCGACATGATGACACCCGCAGTGGTGAGATCAGCACTGTTCTGGACCCGCATTTGAATGAGGTTGGGCCCCTTCTGCAGGGTCACCAACACCGGCGGAATAGAAGTGTCATTCAAGCCCCTAGTGAGCCTGCTGGTACCCGTCTGCAGGCCGTTTATGTAAATCCAGACGTAATCATCTGCGGCAACATATATGTAGGCAGTCATCACACTTGCAGCCCTGTAGACGTAGCTAAAAGTAGTTGCGGGGTTTGTGGGGGCGCCAGGAATCGACTGTGATGCGCCGCCACGTGACCAGATCCATTGCGCACTTGGGTCAACAAAGGAGTTGTAGTACCAGGGGGCCGATCCACGGGTGCCCAAGAGGGCCACAGCTGCGACACAACAGATGTGCGTTAGGTCAAGGCGGGGTGCGTGTTTCCATAATTACAGTTTGAAAGATAGAAGTGATGATTGCAGGCCTGATAAGATGGTTCCATCGGTGCGCATGAGTGAACGAGAAGTGATGATTAATGATGCAAACAATGAACCAAGACAGTGGCAACCGCCGAGTGACAAAAGCTATCTAGTGCCAAGAGTTCCCAATATTGTCCTTCCCACCGTTCTCCTGCCCACGGTCGCTCGAATGCAACTTACGTCTCACTCCACCCGCCACAGTTCTTGCATCCATGAAGAAGCCGGGTCCTGCTCCCTCGTCACGTTTGAGGGTGCAGGTGTTCTTGCATCGCCTGAATACCCAGTAACGGCAGTCTGGGTGAACGGAGCATGCGCTGCAGCAGTCCCCTGACGATTGCATTGTGAGAATTGTGATTGTTGAGGCCTCCGTACCATAACCCGTACCAGGCAGCACATTGGCGCACACTGCAAGTCAATCGGCACCCACATGTGTACACAGTGCAAGCTTATCATGTGACCGCAGGTAATCGCATGCGTAGCAGATTACGGTATGTATCCTGCATGCACACATACTTGTACATCCTTTTCAAAAGATGCTTGCTGACCTGGAGCACCCAGGCATGCATTCACTCGCGAGTCCTTCTCCGGTAATACAGCGACATAGATGCAACATGTATGGATGCATGCACCCAGAAAGGGTGACCTCCGTCATGCAACATGCATATGACCATATCAAGGTCATACGCAGCATTCCTCTGTAAAACCTTTGATCGTGTATAATAGATCGCACCCTCGTATGAAAGAATGCACAGTCCTTGTTTAGACAAGATCTATTATCTAATAGATCTATTATATCAGGGGAAAATGTATACATGACCAAAAATTTTATAGACTTTATGTAACTACAGCTGCATTGGGAAGCTGTATCAGGTGGTCTTTGAAAAGTCCGTTTAAGATGCTGGTGGAGCGCCTTATCGATGGTGGGGCGATGGTGGGGTACTTACAGACGATGTGTGTGCTGTAGCTAAAGGGTTATTTATAAAGCACTACTGCCCAATCATTAATCACTTTCCGAACGGGAATGTTCAGTAGGTGGAAAATCCACCGCACAATAATTTACCGGTAATAATATATATGGGAGGAGGATGGTCACAAGTGTTCGTGTGTTAATATGTGCAGCGGGCGGTGAGGGCCCATTCTGGCATTCCTTGTTCCAGCCTTGCTTCCATATTTGTTTTCTTCACTTATTCTCATCCGGATGAGAATAAATGAGGGATCCCTCATTTCGCTGTTCGTTTTTTCATTTGCAACACCTGGTTGGAGAGCGTAATTATAAGTAATATATTCCGAAAAAGGAATAAATCGGCATTGTGGCCCTTGGAAAAAAGGAATAGATTGAGGCCGACCCGAACGTCATTCCTCCAGCCAAAAACGTCCATTGATGCCAGATTGCTCTGTAGTGTGCAGATTTTAGTATTTGCAATTATCTTGAACCCTTTGCTGGCGGGCCGCGGATTGCAGCGGCGGGTGACGGCCAGTGATTTGCTATGCGGTTGCTTGCTTTGGGCCTTTGCTTGGTCGATTTTACTTACTGCTCATAAACAGTACCAGAACTATCTACGCATGTGCACGAAGAGTGCACGCACGAACGAAAACGCGCCAACGCATTGTGTGACTCCTGGTCTACGAGGGGAGTTGTAACTTAGGGGGGGGGGTCTGGGTGGGGGCCAGAGCCCCCCTCATGATCAGCGCCTCACAATTAAAGAACAAATTACGACAACCCTAGCAAATTTGTTACTTAGGTTGGAATGAATTGCGACCCGTCCTAAACGAAAGATAATCACTGGTTGGATACCTATTGATACATTGAGCTTTGCTCGCTCCATTCCAGTGGATGGCCATGGAGCTGGGACCTCACTTATCGTCGGGGCCGCTTCCTTCCTGATGAGTTGCATCGGATATACAAGCAGTGTTGGCCTACAATGACAAAGGCGCACATGCAATTCATCGATGCTGTAACGACGCAAATGCCAATCTGAGCATCCCGGGTTACGCCTTTGCTGTGTTACAATGGTATCGAGACGGGACCGCACGAATTCCGAAATAAACTTCGGGTCGGCGGTTCGATTCTGGCAACCAGCAAATTGGCGATTTCATGGTGTAATGGATAAACCAGCGCACTGGCGCGAGGTGGGATGGCTCCTGTGCTCGAAATAATGGCCGAGGACGTCCATTGCTAAGTGGGGGGCAATGTAACGACGCAAATGCCAATCTGAGCATCCCGGGTTACGCCTTTGCTGTGTTACAGATGCGCACACCCACCTGCGGAGGCGGCGTAATATCCAAAGACTTGGATCTCCGAGATTTGTAGAAGAGGGTACTTGTTTTGTAACGTGACCCATCGTCCAACCTTGGGCGTGTCAAACGCGATGATCTTTGAAGCGCACATGCCTACATCGGCATCTTGTCGCCAGACCAAGGGGTCCCCTGTAATGTTGCGTGTATCGCCCCCGCCTGCTGCATTAATCCCCCGAGTAATGCTGACGTTCCCAATGCGCAGCTCTGCATTCTGCAGTCGTTCCGGACAGCAATCACATCGGTTGATGATGACAACCCGCTTCACAAGTGCCACGGCACCCAGGTCAACAGAAATCCAAGGCGTCGGATCCGAGTAGTTCGAGTGAAATAAGCTTAAGGTGGATGCATCGAGGGGACTTGGATACTCGGTGACTCCATCCACCGCGTAACCTGGGTAGAGGTAAGTGTTATCCCACAGGTACACTGATGATGCGTACACTGCCTGACGCAGAGCCAAGTTAGGAAGATCGTCATCGCCTGCATGAATGGACGCGCGCATGGGCCACGTTGGCGTGTGCACTGCGAGCATGCGTGAGGAGGTGACCAGGAAAAAAAAGAGGCACCTCTTCCCAGCAGGCTAGCTAGGTACCCAATCGTCGACAACTTAAGCAAGCAAGTTTCACACATGCAGTATTTATGGCACTCATGCATCGTCTCTTGACAGTGGAAGCACCCGTTCACTCGAGGGGGGGAGGAATGTAAGAAGGGATCAGCTCCCCTGGCATCTCCCTGAGTACTCTTTGCCTGGTGCTACATTACTGGTACCCTTCCCAACCGTGATCCGTAACCAATAACACCACACATCCAGTGAAGGTAAATAAGTAGCGGGGGAAGTGATCCACTGGACAGCTCCGGAATGGACCGCTGCAACTTTCAGTAAAAGTGTAAAAGTACCCCTTGCAAAACGCACGTTATCTTATGGCCATTATGTATCATTTCGATATAACAGAAGTCCGTTCACGCACCAGTTGCACAGGTTGCCATCATAAACGCCGCCAGCAACATAAGCGGAAGGGGAATAACAGGCATAACCGCCGAGGATGTGGACGGTTCGCCTCGCCAGCAGCTGCTGGCGGCCTTGCGCCTTTCCATACTGCAATCATAGCAGCGGCATGTGCAGATCTATCTTGTCAGAGTCGAAACCAATATCCAGCAATGCAATACAGCAATTACTCAAGCAAGCCATCGTGTTATGTATGGAGAAGATGAACATCAGATGACCGGCGATGGTAGCTTGTGCTGTTCGCACCCAAGCACTGTACAGATAGGCCACAAAAGAAACTAATGGGTGCCAAGGTGAAACCAGCAACGCGGCTCGCTCGGAAAGCACCAAATAAGCGGAGATAGACACTCCCCATCATCATGGCATTATTCCCGGCAGCAGCTAGTGCCCCCACCTTTTATAGTTCCATCATATTTTTCTTTACCATTCATCAGCAATTAATTATAATATGCAAGAATGGAAGCTTTGTATGCATACAAATGGCAATTACTAAGAACGTTATCGGCCAGAGGAGCCGCGGCCGTGCAAAAAGGAAAGCAGCGCGGATGCAGTTCAGCCGTCCTACTGCGAGAAGTATTTCTTAACCGCGTTACATGAATTATGGATTTTTGCGCTTTTGGGGCTTCTTACTTACCAGCTGGTTGCGATAAGCTCCAAAGTACGTTCCCTCGATCGGTGCGGCGCTGGAAGTTGGTAAAGACTGTGGTAAACGTTTTGCCCCCAAACATGGCAATTTAAATGCGCAATTATTGTACCTTCAATGAAATGCGAAAAGTACTATAATAGCGTTCAGGATGCTTTCTGCGGGTATATGCCGTACCTTTGTTACGCCCGCGTGCGGACGCATCCGCGGACGGCCGCCTTCGTCCCACCGTAACACTTCGTGACACTCATGAAGTTCCTAGGGTTGATTCCACCCGCAGATTACTAGTCCAGCTGGACTAATAACTCATTACGGATTAGGGGTTGTAAGGGATTTGTGTTCGTTACCGAGTAGGTATGGTTTGGCTTTGATCAGTACGACCTTCTGTTGTGGAAGGCTTGCCAGACTACTTAAAGCATCCCTACAACTTCATTTGTAAGCTTAGTATTCTTTTCTTCCTTATCTCTCAGCTAGCGTCGGATGTCGGGCTATGCAGCCCGGGCAAGTTAGGAACTAAAGCTTCCTCCAGTCGCCAACCGGAGCCAGTTCCTTCCAGATGTAATAATTCGTGGCGTATGGAAGCATCCAGCACGCGGGTTATGAATGGCGGAGTTAGTAATATGGCCGTCGCACGCCCGTGTATCGAGCTTTACACGGATTAAATTTTGATCAGTATGCCATATATGTCCGCGTTCTTGCCAAAATAGTGGCACAGTCTCGGTGATAAATATTTGCTACCAAATTTCGTTCGCCGTCTCGACAAGTCTCGACAACATTGCGGTCTTAAACCTTCGTATTAATAGTCAATTGTCTTCTCAATGGTCAGCAGTATCTTCTGTACTAATCATTTTTGTCTTTCACGCATGGAATATAAGTATCCGTAATTGTGCGTTTAATCCGTTCCTTAATCCAGACTTCTGCTGTCCTCTGCTGCTTTTACATCGTGATTACATTAAAACCGTCCCGGCAGTGAGATCACCAGCAGCGAACCCAACATAACTTCGTCCAACAGGTCGCGGGCAAAACCTGATAAAACCTCCACTCAAATAACAAGAACGAATTCCCTGCACCGCCCCACTCATCGGCTTACCAGCCATACGATCTGCCCGCTGATCGGCTCGACCCTACTCTAACTCCCCTGCAGCTGCCCCGACAAGCTGTGTCGGCTTCCTCGAAGTCGGAAAAAGGGCGGGGCCCCCCTGCATCCGTACAGGCCGGTAGCTTGGGCGGCACGTGTGACAATTGTTGGGTAGTGTGAACGAGGTGGAAGCTGTGCTTGTCAGTGCTCAGCAATCCGCCCCACAGCCGCGAGCTTCATCGCGCGCGAGCTTCATCGCGGCACACTGCAACTCTTCGGAGGCCCCGAGCACTGGCCAAAGTAATTGTACAAACAAGCAGCTTGCGTACTTCATAGAGAAATGAAAGCAAATTTGTCGGCCTGCCGCAGGCTGGTGGCAAGTCGGAATGCCCGTGCGGGCAAATGGTAACACAAGCTGGGTGTTCGAGTTATCATACGGCGTCATCTCAGAATTCCATTATGAGATACGCGGCACCTTTTGATATTAAATGTAACCCGAGAAGCGTTGGTGTGACTTTGGGTTCGGTGAATGGAGGCAGCCAAACATGTTTGTGCTCATACGATATTTGTTGGCTACAGGCGAGATGCCTTGCAATAGAGAATGCAGTATATTACCAATAACGCGTTTCAGCCGGGCGAGATATTATGTTTGGTCCGTTACACACACACACGCATACACACACAGACACATACACACACACACACGGACACACACACACACACACACACACACACACGGACACACACACACACATAGCGGGGCCACCCTGGGCGCTTCGCGCTGGGGCCCCGCCCGAAAACCCCGTACTTATTTCGGACCAGTGGCCGGCCGTAAAACTTAAGCTCAAACCACCGGGCAGTCCAGGCCCGGTGGATTACGAGATAGACACGTAAAGAAAACAAGTGCACCAAGCCAGGTCGAGGCGCAGGTGGGAACAAAAAGGGCAACCCAAGGTAACAACACGGCGAGTAGCCGTAACAGGATTGAGACCTGAACAAATAGCGCACAACATTACGACAGAGATCACTACTTGCATCGTCCAAGAACCAGCCTCCTCACAACCGAGAAGCCAGCATCTAAGAAACACACCGATGGATTAGTCGGGGAATTGCCGTTGCGTGAGTCATAATAAGTGGAATGATGAACCATCTGTACGAGCAAGTGATTCACAAACAAATTAGGTTTTAGAGCATGTCGGAGCGTACGCACATACCTGGGACAAGAAGGGTGTGTCGGGGGGATGGTTGTTACAGTGGGCTCCAGACTCACAAAGTGTACGAGAATTTGCCGCCAGGATTCACGTGCGTGTGGGGGGTGTTACAGTGGGGGGGTGTTAAAGAGTAGAGTTAACGGGCCAGCGGGCCGTGCACTGCACCTGAGACGATAAGGGCAAACACGACACCCACCCAGACCAGACAACGCAAGTCACCTCAACAGCAGAAAGCGAACTCAAAGGGGTGATCTGACCCAACAGAATCCAATCCTTTCCGTGGAACTCCCAGAGCTGCCATATACCGCATCCCGTGCTCAATAGCTGACACCGCAGCAAGAGCCACAACATCCCAAAAACATTGTTGCACTGTTTGTGCACACACAGAGACCAAAAGCTTAAAATGGAGCCTGCAATCTTGGGGTGCCTGCAGCCCTGGGGTAACCCTTTAATTAGCCAGTTGCTCGATGCTGTCAAAACTCACTGCACGCTTAGGCTGCCCGCCTAGACGGACGCTAATTACAGGAAACCATTCCCAAGCCCGTAACCATGCTTAGACAACAGTCCAAACAAGAATACGTTCAAGTGAGGCAGACGACCCCAAACGCAAGTGTGTGGCAGGTCGGTGACATACCTTCCGCGTCACGTATCATGCATGGCACTTACCTGGGTCGCTCCTTGCACGCAGGTGGCGATGGAGGCCTTAGCGGCATATTCAATCAATTCATCTCGCTCAAACCGGTTTTCCCCCTCTTCTCCTCAGGGGATCAAGTCGCCTGCGGCTGCGGCTGAACCCATGTACGGTGGGGAAAGATTGCAGTACGGCAAATTCGCATGCGAACCGCTGTTGGTTCTTTTACCATGACCAAATGCATTCTGTTGTTGGACTGGATGTTGGGAAGTTGACCTATAAGCTACCACGAGCAGGGATGGTCCCCTTGTGCAGTTGTAGCCGGTGATGGCTGGAGCGAGCTCTTTCTCCCTCAAACCTCTCCCGTTCCCGACTCCCCCACCTCCTCCTCCCCAGCCCGCCTCTCCCGTCCCTCTCAACCTTCTTCCCTGCCCCCTTCCGCTGTCCCCTCCCCTTCCCCGCCGCATGTCAGCCCCGTTGCTGCCTCCAACGGCGGCTCTGGAGCAGGCGATGACGATGCTGCAGGTGCGGGCCCCCCTCCGGGTTCCCGTATGCGGGTTGACGTGTCCGCGCGTCCTGAGGCGTTCTTGGACGCCGGTGGTGTTGGGCACTTGAGGAAGTGTGATGGCGCCAAGCAAGGCCAGCCACGCAGTAGGGTAATCCAATCTCTGTCCGGCTGCTGCTGAGGGCTGACCCGACCAGCTGGGCCAGGGCTGGGCCCGCATGTCTCCCCCATCCCACCCCACCCCAGCTGGTCAGGGTTTTCTCGTTCCAGGTTGGATTGTATTCTTCCCCTACTTCGTCTTAGCACCTCCTGTTGCGTCTTTCTGGCGGTCGGTAGGACTGCCAGTCCTCCCTTTCACCGTCAGCAGCCAGCTGCTTTGGGCCATGGTATAGTCATCCATTTCATAGTTGTTGGTTGGTTCACGTGTTAATAAGTTGGTTGCGTGTCGGTTACGTTCGTTATGTTATGATGGGGGGGTTGTACTAGTGGAATTTTAAACAATGATTAGCGGCAGTTTGCGTCCCGCCATATCCCGCCATATTGCCTCACCTCCGCCAAGTTCACGTGTACACCAGCACCGCATGCCGGGGACTGGCATTCGTTGCAACGGCCTCAACAACAATGGCAACGACAATGGCAGCTTCCATCGTCACACATTCTCCACCATACATGTGGCTCTCCCTCTCCTCTCTCTTCCTTCTCACATATGGCAGGCGGCTGGCAGAGGTTAAGGCCTGACTTCTGCTCCCAGTCGACCCAGTCGACCCGGGTTCAAATCCGCCTGCCGGCTCCTCGGGTGTTTGAGGAGTGATGAAATGGGAGGTGGCCCCCCATCTTATGGACGGTGTAGGACGTGATAATATCAACTTGCGAGCTGACCAGGAACTAAGTTGATGCGCCGTTGATCCGCTAGATTTGGTTGGATGCTGGTGGTGAGTTGCCGAACCCAACGAATACATTCTGAAGTCGGATGGGGTGACGGATTAGGGTGCCCCTCTAGCAGGGGAGAGCAGGGACTGCCCCGGGAAAGGGGGCCGCTGGCGAAGTTGACCACCCTGTAACAACATACATACACACACGCACACACGCACATGGAAAGAACTGAACTGAGCAATACCTAAGACGAAAACGCACACCTTGAACAGCAATACGGCTCACGCCGAAGCTTGAGAAGCTCTGTGTGGCATGACTCAGCAGTCTATAGCCACCAGTCCAGAGGGAAGTAGCGTGTAAGTCCCCCATGAAGCGGCAGAAGGCATTGGTTTCCGAGAGAGGCAACTCTCAGGGCAAAACTGCAAGCCGCGGCTGAAGACGAGGACACGCGCAAGCCCAATCGCCGGGATCCACCAACTCGCATCGCTGCCGCCATATTCTGCGGCCACACTCCGTGGCACCGGCGGTGGCTATGACCCACACCACACCCCAAACACACATCCCCGGGGCAGACACCAGCCACACTTGCCTTCCAGTAAACAATACAACCAATAAGCATGTTAATTGAAGGCATGCAGGTCTGGGCGCGATTTGAGACATCAACATTACGATTTTGGTTGTACGACGGGGCCACCAGGTTCAGTGCCAGTATGAAGGCAGACGGAGACCCTGTCACTCGCTCTTGCTGACCAGACATCTAGCTAACAACGTGGATATCCGCTATCTCTGGCCACATACATATCTGAGGACCTGCAGGCCTAAGGTCCAAAGAATGGTGGTAACGAGTCCGTGAACAACAGCCAGGAGCTGCCATTGGCTTGCGTGGCCCCTATACGGTCCACATCAACCAGTCCCCATTCCTCTTCGTAGCGCTGCAGCACCACACTGTCACCCTGGCCCAGCGACAACGGTGCAGAGAATTCCACGAAGATGGAGGGCCGTGACCTGTTGGCATGTGCAGCCCACAGCCTGTTCGGTGATGGCAAGCTGCGGTATCCGATGAGGTATCCAGTACTGTAGTCGTACGATAAGGAATACTTCACATTAAATCCGCCTGCGCCATTCAAGACCAGGGCCGGTGCAGATCTGCCAAGAGATGAGTAAATTCGCGTGGTAGCAGTGCTGTTGCCTGCCCAGCGCCATGCAGACACAGGTGGCGCGGATGGGTAGCCCACACGCATGAAATCGAGACAGTTGATGGCACTGTCGGAGACTATCCTGCAGCCGCTACCATCCCCGTAATCCTTCGTGCTGTTAACGCGGACGATGTCAATGAAGGCGTTTGTATCCCAGTTAGCCGGAGGAGAGCCATCACATGTGACGGCGCCTGACCGCTGAAGCATAATGCCAGTGCGGGGCTTGCCAGGCGGTCCACCGGCCAACAGTGTCGCGATGGGTGAAGAGAACTCCACGTACACCCTGGGCTCACAATAAGCGTTCTCTGTGAGCGACATGGTCAAGGTGCTGGGAGGGGAGCGGGTGCCATCCGCATAGGTGTACACAACACGGTAGACGACGTTCATGTAGCCGTAGTTCCAGAAATACATATTGGTGGCGTTTCCGGTACAGTTGCCGGCCCCAGTAAATTGAGTTTTCATGCACTGTACTGGCGGTGGAGTATCTGCATCACGCACACGGATTCATCGATGGGAATAATCGTCAAGAGGCGTTGGCAGTAACGATGTATACACACAAAAGTATTCCACCATTTTATGGACGTGAGCTTTGGACTCGATCGCTTTGACTGTACAGTACCATACCGTAGTGCTACTTATAGTTCGTGATCGCTTTGTTCGGGGAGGGGTCAAAAAACTTTCTGAAATTTGTACGTGCTCTTTTTCGGGGAATTTCGGGGAAGGCCGGACCAGATTTTGCGGGCATGATACAAATTTCGGGGCCCCTTCCAAAGTTTCGGGGCTTTTCAAACTGCAGCTTCCAGTCAGTCTCCCTCCACCGGGAACCCTTAGGCTCATGGTCTCTCACCATTTTCGCACTTTGGAAACGCCCTAGCAAATTCTGGACCGATCGTACAGTTCAGTACCAGTGGCAACGACCTAATAACCAACCGGCCGGGCCAATACAGTGTTTGGGTGGTTGCTACTGAAACGTGTCTTTATGTGGCTGAAACCCCGATGTAAAAGGCATTACGACGCAGCTGGATGCACCAAACAGGAACGGCTGCCGTAGCATTGACCGCATTGCGCTCGCGCCTAGCAACCTCCTCGTGCTCCATGCGCTCACGCTGGGCCTCGACAACAGCATCATCAAGCCTAACTGGTGCAAATCCAGCTCGGTCGCTCACCGGAGCGTTTGGTGCTAGCGGTTTCAACCCGCATTGAAGCAGGGTTGCCTGTCTTGCACGTTTTCCAGCGTTGTTCATGTCCTACGTTTATGACTATATTTTATGTATTTAAGAGCTGATTTCCGCCTTGAAACCCTAGTTTTTGCGAAGTTTGATCGGCCGGCTTCGGAGGGTACGATATTTCGGGGCTGCGGTCCCTTGGGATACCTTAGAATTTGTACGTGCTACATATTCGTGGTGCCTCCCGAATTATTGTAGCACGAACTATAAGTAGCACTACGGTATGCACGGCATGTGGTCAGGGGTAGACAAGGCGCATATATGCGAGTTTATGTGTACTTGCAGTTTAGTATATATAGATGGTATTAAAATGCATTATTATATTGTTATTATTATACATTCACACGTTACGCGACGACTCTATGCCAGGCAACTAAAACCGCTACGGCTGTACACAAACACGATCTGTGGGAAGATACAATACATCGTGTGGGATGGTCGCTGCATGAACAAAATCCAGCCGCACATACAGACGTACGTACCTGCAATACTGATGGCTCTCTCGGACCATACCCAGGACGCATTGGAACGGGCCAGCACCCGCCCACTTGAGTCTTGTAGCGACATGATGACACCCGCAGTGGTGCGATCAGCACTGTTCTGGACCCGCACTTGAATGAGGTTGGGCCCCTTCTGCAGGGTCACTGAAACTGGCGGAATACGAGTGCCACTCCAGCCCCTAGTGAGCCTGCTGGTACCAGTCTGCAAGCCGTTTATGTAAATCCAGACGTAATCGTCTGCAGCAACATATATGTAGGCAGTCATCACACTTGCAGCCGTGTAGACGTAGCTAAAAGTAGTTGCGGGGTTTGTGGGGGCGCCAGGAATCGACTGTGATGCGCCGCCACGTGACCAGATCCATTGCGCACTTGGATCAACAAAGGAGTTGTAGTACCAGGGGGCCGATCCACGGGTGCCCAAGAGGGCCACAGCTGCGACACAGCAGATGTGCGATAGGCCGCAGCGGGGTGCGTGTTTCCATAATTACAGTTTGAAAGATAGAAGTGAGGACTGCAGATGACCTGATAAGATGATTCCATCGGACATACATGAGAGAACGAGAAGTGATGATTACTGATGCAAACAACGAAACAAGGCAGTGACAACCGCTGAGTGACAAAAGCTATCTAGTGCCAAGAGTTCCCAATATTGTCCTTCCCACCGTTCTCCTGCCCACAGTCGCTCGATTGCAACTTACGTCGCACTCCGCCCGCCACAGTTTTTGCATCCATGAAGAAGCCGGGTCCTGCTCCCTCGTCACGTTTGAGGGTGCAGGTGTAGTCGCTCTGCCGAAATACCCAGTAACGGCAGTCTGAGTTAACGGAGCATGCGCTGCAGCAGTCCCTTGACGATTGCATTGTGAGAGTTGTAATTGTCGAGGCCTCTGTGCCGTAACCCGTACCAGGCAGCACATTGGCGCACACTGCAAGTCAATCGGCACGCACATGTGTATACAATGCAAGCTTATTAGGTGACCGCAGGTAATCGCATGCGTAGCAGATCGCAGTACGTATCCTGCTTACATGCATACTTATACTTATTATAAGCAGGCGGCTGGCAGAGGTTAAGGCCTGACATCTGCTCCCGGCCGACCCGGATTCAAATCCGCCTGCCGACTCTTCGGGTGTTAGAGGAGTGTTGAAATGGGAGATGGCCCCCCATCACATGGACGATGTAGGACGTGATAAAATCAACTTGCGAGCAAACCAGGAAACCAAGTTGATGCGCCGTTGATCCGCTAGATTTGGTTGGATGCTGGTGGTGAGTTGCCGAACCCAACGAATACATTCTGAAGTCGGATGGGGTGACGGATTAGGGTGCCCCTCTAGCAGGGGAGAGCAGGGACTGCCCCGGGAAAGGGGGCCGCTGGCGAAGTTAACCACCCTGTAACAACATACATACTCATCATCCTTTTCAGAAAGTGCTTGCTGACCTGGAGCAGCCAGGCATGCATTCACTCGCGAGTCCTTCTCCGGTAATACAGCGACATAGATGCACACGTATGGATGCATGCACCCAGGAAGGGTGGCGTCCGTCATGCAAGATGCATATGATCATATCAAGGACATGCGCAGCATTCCTCTGTAAAACCTTTGATCGTCTATAATAGATCGCACCCTCGTATGAAAGAATGGACGGTCCCTATTTAGACAAGATCTATTATCTAATAGATCTATTATATCAGGGCAAAATGTATACATGACCAAAAATTTTATAGACTTTTATGTAACTACTGCTGCATTGGGAAGCTGTATCAGATGGTCTTTGAAAAGTCCGCCTAAGATGCTGGTGGAGCGCCTTACCGATGGTGGGGCGATGGTGGGGTACTTACAGACGATGTGTGTGCTGTAGCTGAAGGGTTATTAATAAAGAACTATTGCCCGATCATTAATCACTTTCACAACGGGAATGTTCAGTAGGTGGCAAATCCACCGCGCAATAATTTACCAGTAATAATATGGGAGAGGATGGTCACAAGTGTTGGTGTGTACAGCAGCTTAATATGTGCAGCGGGGTGAGGGCCCATTCATAGCATTCCTTGTTCCTCCAGCCTTGCTTCCATTTTTGTTTTCTTCACTTCTTCTCATCCCTCATTTCGCTGTTCTTTCTTTCATTTGCAACACCTGGTTGGATACAGCGTTTTTATAAGTAATATATTCCGAAAAAGGAATAAATCAGCATTTTGGCCTTTGGAAAAAAGGAATAGATTGAGGCCGACCCGAACGTCATTCCTCCAGCCAGAAACGTCCATTGATGCCAGATTGCTCTGTAGTGTGCAGATTTTAGTATTTGCAATTATCTTTGAACCCTTTGCTGGCGGGCCGCGGTTTGCAGCGGCGGGTGACGGCCAGTGATTTGCTATGCGGTTGCTTGCTTTGGGCCTTTGCTTGGTCGATTTTACTTACTGCTCATAAACAGTACCGGAACTATCTACGCATGTGCACGAAGAGTGCACGAACGAACGAAAACGCGCCAACGCATTGTGTGACTCCTGGTCTACGAGGGGAGTTGTAACTTAGGGGGGGGGGCGCTGGGTGGGGGCCAGAGCCCCCCTCATGATCAGCGCCTCACAATTAAAGAACAAATTACGACAACCCTAGCAAATTTGTTACTTAGGTTGGAATGAATTGCGACCCGTCCTAAACGAAAGATAATCACTGGTTGGATACCTATTGATACATTGAGCTTTGCTCGCTCCATTCCACTGGATGGCCATGGAGCTGGGACCTCACTTATCGTCGGGGCCGCTTCCTTCCTGATGAGTTGCATCGGATATACAAGCAGTGTTGGCCTACAATGACAAAGGCGCACATGCAATTCATCGATGCGCACACCCACCTGCGGAGGCGGCGTAATATCCAAAGACTTGGATCTCCGAGACTTGTAGAAGAGGGTACTTGTTTTGTAACGTGACCCATCGTCCAACCTTGGGCGTGTCAAACGCGATGATCTTTGAAGCGCACATGCCTACATCGGCATCTTGTCGCCAGACCAGGGGGTTTCCTGCAATTGTATCGCCCCCTCCTGCTGCATTAATCCCCCGAGTAATGCTGACGTTCCCAATGCGCAGCTCTGCATTCTGCAGTCGTTCCGGACAGCAATCACATCGGTTGATGATGACAACCCGCTTCACAAGTGCCACGGCACCCAGGTCAACAGAAATCCAAGGCGTCGGATCCGAGTAGTTCGAGTGAAATAAGCTTAAGGTGGATGCATCGAGGGGACTTGGATACTCGGTGACTCCATCCACCGCGTAACCTGGGTAGAGGTAAGTGTTATCCCACAGGTACACTGATGATGCGTACACTGCCTGACGCAGAGCCAAGTTAGGAAGATCGTCATCGCCTGCATGAATGGACGCGCGCATGGGCCACGTTGGCGTGTGCACTGCGAGCATGCGTGAGGAGGTGACCAGGAAAAAAAAGAGGCACCTCTTCCCAGCAGGCTAGCTAGGTACCCAATCGTCGACAACTTAAGCAAGCAAGTTCACACATGCAGTATTTATGGCACTCATGCATCGTCTCTTGACAGTGGAAGCACCCGTTCACTCGAGGGGGGGAGGAATGTAAGAAGGGATCAGCTCCCCTGGCATCTCCCTGAGTACTCTTTGCCTGGTGCTACATTACTGGTACCCTTCCCAACCGTGATCCGTAACCAATAACACCACACATCCAGTGAAGGTAAATAAATAGCGGGGGAAGTGATCCACTGGACAGCTCCGGAATGGACCGCTGCAACTTTCAGTAAAAGTGTAAAAGTAACCCTTGCAAAACGCACGTTATCTTATGGCCATTGTGTATCATTTCGATATAACAGAAGTCCGTTCACGCACCAGTTGCACAGGTTGCCATCATAAACGCCGCCAGCAACATAAGCGGAAGGGGAATAACAGGCATAACCGCCGAGGATGTGGACGGTTCGCCTCGCCAGCAGCTGCTGGCGGCCTTGCGCCTTTCCATACTGCAATCATAGCAGCGGCATGTGCAGATCTATCTTGTCAGAGTCGAAACCAATATCCAGCAATGCAATACAGCAATTACTCAAGCAAGCCATCGTGTTATGTATGGAGAAGATGAACATCAGATGACCGGCGATGGTAGCTTGTGCTGTTCGCACCCAAGCACTGTACAGACAGGCCACAAATGAAACTAATGGGTGCCAAGGTGAAGCCAGCAACGCAGCTCGCTCGGAAAGCACCAAATAAGCAGAGATAGACACTCCCCGTCATCATGGGATTATTCCCGGAAGCAGCAGTGCTTCCACCTTTTATAGTTCCATCATATTTTCCTTCACCACTCATCAGCAATTAATTATAATATGCAAGAATGGAAGCTTTGTATGCATACAAAGGGCAATTGCTAAGAACGTTATCGGCCAAAGGAGCCGCGGCCGTGCAAAAAGGAAAGCAGCGCGGATGCAGTTCAGCCGTCCTGCTGCGAGAAGTATTTCTTAACCGCGTTACTTGACCCATGATTTTTGCGCTATGGGGATTTCTTACTTACCTGGTTGCGATAAGCTCCAAAGCACGTTCTCTCGATCGGTGCGGCGGTGGAAGTTGGCAAAGACTGTGGTAGATGATTGCCCAAAAACGTGGAAAATTGAATGTGCAACTCTTGTACCTTCAATGAAATGCGAAAAGTATTACAAAAGCGTTTCGGATGCTTTCTGCGGGTATATCCCGTACGCCCGCGGGCGGACGGCTGCGTTCCTCCTACCGTAACACTTCGTAACACTCGTGAAGACGTATGTTGTTAGGGGGTGATTCCACCTGGACTAATAGTTCACTACGGATCAGGGGTTAGTTCGTGGCATATGGAAGCATCCAGCGCGCGGGTTATGAATGGCGGAGTTAGTAATATGGCGGAGTTTATGGCCGTCGCACGCCCGTGTACGAACACGGATTAAATTTCTTTACTATGCCATAAATGTCCGTGTTATTGCCAAAATAGTGGCACAGACTCGGTGATAAATATTTGCTACTCGGAACAATCACCAAATTTCGTTCGCCGTCTCGACAAGTCTCGTATTGATAGTCAATTGCCTTAAATGGTCAGCAGTATCTTCTATACTAGTCGTTTTTGTCTTTCAAGCATGGTCTATAAGTATCGGTAATTGTTGCGTTTAATCCGTTCCTTAATCCAGACTCCTGCTGTCCTTCGCTGCTTACATCGTGATTACACTAAAACCGCCCCGGCAGCGATATCACCAGCAGCGAACCCAACATAACTTCGTTCAACAGGAAGCGGGCAAAACCCGATAAAACCTCCACTCAGATAACAAGAACGAGTTCCTCTCTGATCGGCTTCAGAGCCATACGATCTGCCCGCTGATCGGCTCGACCCTACTCGACCTCCCCTGCAGCTGCCCCGACAAGCTGTGTCGGCTTCCTCGAATCCGGAAAAAGGGCGGGGGCTCCCTGCATCCTTACAGGCCTGTAGCTAGGGGGGCACGTGTGACAATTGATGGGTAGTGTGAACGTAGTGGGAGCTGTGCTTGTCAGTGCGCCAGCGGCTTCAGCAATCCGCCCCACAGCCGCGCGCTTCCTCGCGCGCGAGCTTCATCGCGGCACACTGCAACCCTTCGGAGGCCCCGAGCATTGGCCAAAGTAATTGTACAAACGAACAGCTGTGTACTTCATAGAGAAATGAAAGCAAATTTGTCGGCCTGCTGGTGGCAAGTCGGAATGCCCGTGCGGGCAAGTTGTAACGTAAGCTGGGTGTTCGAGTTATCATACGCCATCAATTCAGAATTCCATTATGAGATACGCGGCACCTTTTGATATTAAACGTAATGCGAGAGGCGTTGATGTGACTTTGTGACGCAGCCAAACTTGTTTGTGCTCATACGATTTCTGTTGGCTACAGGCGAAATACCTTGCAATAGAGAATGCAATATATTACCAATAAGGCGTTTCAGCCGGGCGAGGTATTATGTTTGGTCCATTGGTCCACACACACACGGCCACACACACGGCCACACGGACATGGGCAATCCTACAGGGCGGGGGCCCCCTGGGCGCTTCGCGCTGGGGCGCCGCCCAAAAAACCCCGTACTTATTTTGGACCAGTGGCCGGCCGTAAAACTAAAGCTAAAGCCACCGGGCAGTCCAGGCTCGGTGGATTACGAGATAGACACGTAAAGAAAACAAGAGCACCAAGCCAGGGGGTGGTGCAGGTGGGAACAAAAAGGGCAACCCAAGGTAACAACACGGCGAATAGCCGTAACAGGATTGTGACCTGAACAAATAGCGCACAACAGTACGACAGAGATCACTACTTGCAGCGTCCAAGAACCAGCCTTCTCACAACCGAGAAGCCAGCATCTATGAAACACACCGATGGATTAGTCGGGGAATTGCCGTTGCGTGAGTCGTAATCGTAATAAGGGGATTGATGAACCATCTGTACGAGAAAGTGCCGCCAGGATTCACGTGCGTGTGGGGGGTGTTACAGTGGGGGGTGGTGTTAAAGATAGAGCCAGCGGGCCAGCAGGCCGTGCACTGCGCCTGAGAGGATAAGGGCAAACACGACACCCACCCAGACCAGACAACGCAAGTCACCTCAACAGCAGAAAGCGAACCCAAAGTGGTGATCTGACCCAACAGAATCCAATCCTTTCCGTGGAACTCCCAGAGCTGCCATATACCGCATCCCGTGCTCCATAGCTGACATCGCAGCAACAACCACAACATCCTATGCACATTGTCGCACTGTTTGTGGAGCTTGGACGAGCCACAGTTCTTCGCGTGACGCTAGCGATTCCATTGATAGAGTGAGTTGGTCCGCTACTGCCTGTGCCACCAGACAGGCCCAGAAGTGATGACAGCGAGGGAATACGCCTCCTAGAGAACCTAGTGGACAACCTCCACAACCACACACTGCTCACCGCAACTCTATCGTTCCCTTTGGTCGTTAGTATACTTCATCACTTGTCTCGTTGGAAGTGCGAGGTAGGATGGTGCTTATAGGCGATTTGGCAGCCCTTGAGCCCTCGGCTCGTACTAGGGTGGTTTGCAGGTACGGGGAACGCACCCACGACCATGTAACAACAACAACACACTGCTGGCTGCGACATCCTGAGATGGGAACTTCCTAACATAGGCACCCCATCAACCGTGAGACGCCACCAAACCGCTTTTTGTTCATTTTCCCATCGTAAATGAGACCATACATAGGGTAGCCCAAAGGTTTAGATAGAAAAGTTATCTCACCTCAATCTAATTAGATCTAATTGGTTCTCATCTAAGGATTTGGCTACTTCTCGAAAACGTAATCAATCTTCACGAAACTTGGTACTTGTGTTCCGTGTAGTTAACATATTCTATTGTAAGTAATATTTTGAGCGGCGGGGCTCTGCATGAACTCTAATCTGTAAGCAGCTGCTCGGGGACGCATGGACCCATGGGTCCAGCATCACCTAGACAAGCCTGAAACCTGCTTTTCCTTTCGCACTGCATGCGGTTAAGAAGTTCAAGCTATTGTAGCAACGTACGGAAAAGTCTATCCTAAATCCTGGCCGTCTTTATGTGCTTTATTCACCCTGGTCGCATGTCGACATGCCGACCAGGTCCATAAACGATGGAAGGTCCGTTGCAACGTAAGAATAGCCTTACCCAGTACCTTAGAAGAGCCCGTCGCCTCTTTAATAAACAGGATATGGGCTGCTCGACGAGCCACAGAAGGTGGCGAAAGTCGCATATCAGTCGCTAATTTTACGGATAGATCTTTAGGTCTTATGGGGGCCCCCTCCACCCCATCGCCAACCTACCCTCGATACCGGGGTTTGGGTAACATAACCAATGGACGGCACCATAGCTGCTCTTGATTCTGCACTGAGAGCCAAGATTAGACTCCCCTGCCTCGGTGGCGCAACCCTGGTAAGGGCACTCAAATCTAAGGCCGCGGCGAGTTCTCAATCCTTTGTCCATTATCGGTACGATATCAGCTGCGGAACCACGCCCACACGTCGACTACATCTGCTTTGACACCGCACTTTTGAAACGGCTAGGAGGGAGCGAGCGGGCAAGAGAGCGCCCTGCTTGCTTGCTCCTGGCCGCCCCACCGCACCTGCTGGCGAAGCATGCAAATAGCATTCCCGCTGTTGCATGCCGAGCGAATCACTGACAGGCCACTTGCCGTTGAGAATTCAATGTTAGCCCGGGCACAATAGTGGCCCCGTGGCCCTTAATTGGAAATAAGTGACAGATGATGGTGGTGGATGCATTGGGCATTGGGCACTTATCGCTAGGCTTAGTCGATTCAAGGCGATCTTGTGCCGGTGCTGCACCTTGCCCCGGGGGAAAAGCTTCTGAAGATCAGTGGTGGTGATGAGGTGTTGTGTTGTGTTCTTGTCGATGAGCGCGTGCATGTCTAGGCCCAGCTCTGTCAAGGGGAGCAAGCATCTGTACGGCAGGGTTTCGGACTTTGTGTCCTGCCGCGCGTTGACGGCGGAGGCGGCCGTCATGAGAGTGTTTAGGGATGTGTTATACGGCATCCCTTTGTCGGTGACCGCGATGCCATGGTCTCGCGCCAGGGTCAGCTGTTTCAGGGTCGTGTAGAAACTGCTCTCTCGTTTCAACGTGTGCATCCTAGTGTCGGCCGCCAGGCGACACTGCAGCTCAAGCATGGCTCGTGTCACGACGCCTAGCCGGCCTTCATCATTCAGGGAGAGGACCAGCGCGCGAGCTGTCATGCGCACATAGATCGGTAGTAGGGACCCAACGCCGAGTCCATATTGTTCCACCGGTAGCAGCACGGCGCGTGTGGGAAAACTGGTGGGCAAGCGGTAGCAGCGTCGGGCTGCTCGTGCGATCATCGCATCCAAAAGTCTGATATCATTAGGAGTG